GTCACTTCAACCCTCTGGGCTTCTGTTTCCTCATCTGTACACTGCAAAGGTTGACCTCAGCCATCTTTAAGATGCTAAGATTCCATGGATGCTAAGATTCCATGACATTAATGATCTGTCAGTCCCCCAAGACCATCCAGGTAGGCAGGAGACGTCACCTAAACCGGCACCCTCCTTCTAGCTTAACCTCAGGTTTTAACTTTTTCTCTGAGCTGTGAGATCCACAGATTTCCTCCCAGGCTCCTTCTCCTTGATCCCTATCTGTGTCCCCTCACAGGGCTCCATGACAACACGTTACAACTAACTTGTCAAGTGCAGTGACATCTGCATTCCTGACATTCCAATCTGGAGATTGTCTTTTTATAGTCCCTGCGGTGGGAGGATGCAGCCCAGACAGGATGAATTTAGCATTGCAAACTGGGAGGAATATGTTGTCCTTAATCTGAATAAAGTGCCTCTAGTCTGGGACTGTTTCCCCAACAATTCTATCGAGTCTCTCCTTGCTTCCAAGGCAAGGAGGGTTCAAAGAGAGACAGACATTGTGACCTTACTACCAGGCCCGCCAGCACCCTTTTGATAATCAGCGAATCTACGTCAGACCTGCCCTGTGCCGCCCCTCATCACGGAAGGTAATTTGGGATCCACGCCAAATAATCAGCCGTGTCGGCTGCCAAGCGTCCAACGGGCTGCGAGTGAGTTAAGGTTGGGGCCCTGCAACTCCGTGATTTAAAGGTTCTCTTGACGAGAGGGACACCCTTTCTGCTAGCCCCTCGGTCTCTGCTGCTGGGGATCTCAGAGCAACGTCAGGCCTCCTTTTTGTAGATTCATTTGGCAGACTTGCTCGTTCACTTTCCTCGAGGCCCCCCTCTAGCAAGTCAGCAGCTGGACCGTTGTTCAATGATGGGGGCTTTAGTGCTGGGAAAAAAACGCACATCTTTTGTCATTATTCTGAATCTGTTTTAAAGAGAGTAGCAGGGAGAGACTCTTCGAATGAAGTATTTCCAACCCCAGGACTGCACAGGCCCAACAGCGCTGGCTACTCCATGGAGAGATACAACGTAAGCCAAGGGACACACATCTGCTCTACCCCTCGCACCAGAAGCCCTTTCTCTCCCTTGTGTGTACTTGAGGCTACTGTCCTCAGGATGTCACCGGCACCCTTGCTGGTTCTAACCCTGAGAGCTCAGGGCTGCCCAGGTTTGGTAACCCCCGAATCCCCTTCAGCGTTGAACTCCCGCATGACGCGCAGATCACACAGAACTAACAGATGCTCACATCTGCCTCTCATCCTTCTGGCCGGATCAAACTGAGCCAGCTCCTTCTCGACGTAGTACAGGACCTTCATGGAGTCCCTCTCTTTGTCCGCTTGGATCCGGTAGCCTTTGCGAACTGTTAAGGAAAGGACAGGAAGGTGAGCTGAAAAAAGCAGGAGGGGGCCTCCATTTTACCAAGTGAGAAAAACACGGTCCCCGCTTATAACAACTCTTTTTGAAATCACCCAGAAATAGTCATCTATATTTATACTTATGGAACCATACCTGAGATCCCTTTTATCAGATGGTGCCCCTGGAATGGAGGAACAGCAGGTAAATAACAGAGTTCTATGACAGTGTATTTTGGGTCACTTGTTAAATTCTGTTTCCTGCTTTCTGACCTTCTAGAGCTCTGCTTAAAGATCATCTTCTCAAAGCTCAGGGAAGTATACTCACACTAAAAAAAAAAGACCACTTTCTAGACAGATCATTCTATACCATCTGGGGATCACATCTTCACTTGGTAGGAGCACATGTAAATACAACAGACACCCCAACATCAGGGACCTTGACAAAGGTGGCCTGAACGCCTCTAGTGTCCTGGGAGATGATGCAAAAACTCCATAACTGGGATTAGAGACTATGATACACATTTGGGCCAAGGAAGGTGCAAACCACATGGATTGCTAAGTATGGTTCCATTTATTTCTTTAACATTTTCCTTTTAGGAAAGGGAATACCACATTCTAGACATGATAAATTCAACCTGCCGCTATGTGGTTACAAGCAGGTGTTATTTTCAGGGCTTAATAAGAAACAAAACTAAAGCCTGAGAGATAATACCACCTCCTACATTCCCATCACTCATGTTGTCAGATACAAAGGCTGTTGAAGCCCCATATCACTTAAGTATCAGCCAAGTCCAATACCAGCCTTAAGGGTGATCAGACACAGGCACGTCTAATCTTCACAGATAAGGGAAACAAGAGAAGGGAAGGAATGGGATGGGGACGTAACAATAATGGCAAGAGACAACACTCATTGGGCACTATAAATGTGCTGAGGTACGGTGCTAAATGCTTTCATGGACGTTCATTCCTCCCAACCCCTAATGAAGTTCCGGTAGCCTCATTTTATGGTTGAGAAAAGTCTGATTCAGAGGGATTTCATAACTTGCTCAAGCATTACTGGCAGCACCAGAGCTGGAACCATGTTATCTGACTGAAGCCTCTCTGGAGCCTAGGAGTCAGGGGTAGTAGGAAAGACAAGAGGAGAAAGCCCAGAGTAGGAAATGCTCGTAGGTGTGCCCTAGGTGGGAGGATCTGAGCCGTCGCCCTATCTTCTAGCCAGTCAGGACTCTACAACGGGATGGAAGAAAGTGACCCAACCCCCAACGTCCTCTGTTCCCAAAGCAGGGCGAACGCCATAAAGAAACCACATGACTGCATGTGCCTCCAGAGGGGACTCTGCTTTCTGGTCACCTTACCCTGGCTGTGGACAAAGCCCCACACACGAACTATGTCCACGGAAGATTAAAATATAGCATTCCGCAGCACTCTGATCACAGCCCTGGCACCGAAAACTGAAAGAACGCCCCCACACCCATTTGCAGGTGCACCAATTTTCTATATGAGAACATTCTGGGCAGTTCAGATTCATCTCCAATTGTGGAATCACTTTAAAAAAAAAAAAAAAAACAACAAATGAATCTCAGCACACGCGTTTAAGTGGCACCTTCTCCTGGAGGTTAGATCCGTAATCCTTATGCAGAAGCAATTATTAGCAGGAATGATTTTATTTATCAAGCTACACACTCTTCCTTCCATCTCTGCAGAGGCGTTTACAGAGTAGTACAGACAGTTCAATTAAAACGCAATTATCCCACGGAACTGCTATGTCTGTTCTAAGGCAGTCATGTCTGATGGATGAAACACAGGGCTAGGAAATAAGGAACTGGGCACTGGTAGGCATGTGGCTGGTTTATTGAGGGGCCTCAAATAAATGATGACCTACCAAGTACTTGGTTTTAATGTCTATAAAATGCAACTAATACTTCCCCAATTTTAAAATTTTTTTTTTTCAACGTTTATTTATTTTTTTTGGGACAGAGAGAGACAGAGCATGAACAGGGGCGGGGCAGAGAGAGAGGGAGACACAGAATCGGAAACAGGCTCCAGGCTCCGAGCCATCAGCCCAGAGCCCGACGCGGGGCTCGAACTCACGGACCGCGAGATCGTGACCTGGCTGAAGTCGGACGCTTAACCGACTGCGCCACCCAGGCGCCCCCTTCCCCAACTTTAAATCTTCCCAACCTTTCTCTTCACAAGGAAGAGAAGACAGATATAGAAAAAATTTAAAAAGGTAAAAAAGAGGACAACAAAGACCTAATCGGTAGAGTTCTTTGAGTTCCTTGTAATTATCAGGGGCCGCTCAAATGGCACCACATCCCAAAAGCTTTCTCTGATTCTCATAGCTATAAAGTTCTATTTCTTCTCTCTCTCCATCTCATTTCTCTCTTATAAACCATTTACTTGGAAGTTTCACTAGGACCCTCAATACGCTCTAGTTTGTTCCAAATTATTTGTATAAATGTCTCATCTTCCCAAAGATTTCGAAGGAAAAGAAGTCTTATTCTAGATCAGCGTAAAGCCCAGAACAGTGCGTGGTAGGCACTTAATAAACGTTTGAGGGGCGCCTGGGTGGCGCAGTCGGTTAAGCGTTCAGCCAGGTCACGATCTCGCGGTCCGTGAGTTCGAGCCCCGCGTCAGGCTCTGGGCGGATGGCTCGGAGCCTGGAGCCTGTTTCCGATTCTGTGTCTCCCTCTCTCTCTGCCCCTCCCCCGTTCATGCTCTGTCTCTCTCTGTCCCAAAAATAAAAATAAAAACGTTGGAAAAAAAAATTAAAAAAAAATAAATTAAATAAACGTTTGAGCTGAATTGGTGCTAGTCTGAGGGTGGTGCGGGGGGGTAATGATTTCCTTGGAAAGAGTATTTCCTGTAGAGTTTCCCTCTCTAGATTCTAAACTTCCTGAGGACAGGGACCGGTTCTATCTCTGCATCTCCAGCACAAGCACAGAGCCTAGCACACTGTAGACCCTAGAAACATGTGTTTGTATGAATGAATGGGTGAATGAACGAACGAACGAACGAATGAACAGAAATCGGGAATAGAAACTATATGACAAGGGACTGCAGAGTAAGGCAGAAGCAGCCATGTGGTTGGTTGGTCAGAGGGTTTTGGCCAGGAAGGGGAGGACTTGAACGATGGCTTGAGGGAGCAGCAAGGTTTAGGTCAGTTTTGCTGCCATCATTGATGGTTATTTTTTAAAGGAGAACACTAGCAGGTGCTATAGGCATTAGGGAAGGGGCCTACCCTACCTGAACTATGGCCTCAGCCAGGTGTTTTAAATATGTGAAGCACTGTTACGGTAAACATTCAGTCATACTGAGATCAAGTGGAGGTGGGGAGGTGTTGCTTTATGGAACAATGTCCCAGCTGTCCCCTGGTGGTGAGAGATGGCCGCCTCTCTGAGCAACAGCTGGAAACCTCTCCGTTAGTTGCAACTTGGAGTAGAGCATAGATTGTTTTCTGTGCCATTATAACAAATCACACTCCTCCTTGTGAGACAGGTTTGATGATGTATGCTCAGGTTATCATGTCCCTGAAAGGTTACAGTCACTATTTACAGCCTCAAATGAAGACAGTTGTCTCACCTTCCAATCCTGGCATTAGAAAGAGACTCCGCTAGAACAGATACTTTCTGCCTTGACTTCAGCTAACGTCTTCAGAAATCTAAATCCCTCCGATTTGCCGAGAAGGACGAGGACGAATTATTGATATTTAGACTTTAGAGGTATCATCTATTTGGTTTCAGTAGCTAAAAAGCTAGGCCATTCTCCCTGCAAAAAGGTGTTTCTTTTTTTCCAACCGAAAACTGTAAGTTTGATTGTGTAGCACACTAAAACTAGAACGAAAACAAGTTCTCTCATCCTGGCAGAATCTGGCTCTGTGTCACATATATGCTCAGGAGCATTTAAAACACCAGAAAACCTCTCTTCATCCCTCCAAGCAGATGAGACTTTTCCTTCTCTGAGCTTGCATCAGAGAGCAGTCTTATCATACACTGCTTTGTATTTCTTCACTCGTTTTATGTCCATTCACAAACCCCCAATGCCCATCTTGCTAGACAGCAAATTCTGTGAGGGAAAATTCGTAGGCATTCGTCAAATTTTTCTTATATGAAAACAAGTAAAATGGCGTCAGGTTGATTTTTATCTGTAATTTGCCTGAAGATCCGAGAACTCTCTGATGTGTGGTGATAGTTTAAAAAGACAGGTCCTGGGGGCGCCTGGGTGGCGCAGTCGGTAAAGCGCCCGACTTCAGCCAGGTCACGATCTCGCGGTCCGGGAGTTCGAGCCCCGCGTCGGGCTCTGGGCTGATGGCTCGGAGCCTGGAGCCTGTTTCCGATTCTGTGTCTCCCTCTCTCTCTGCCCCTCCCCCGTTCATGCTCTGTCTCTCTCTGTCCCAAAAATAAATAAACGTTGAAAAAAAAAAATTAAAAAAAAAAAAGACAGGTCCTGGACCATTGGCCAAAGTCCAGCCCTTTTTGGAAAGTGACTCTTCCCCCCCAGTGATGTTTCCGTTTAGCATGGATGCGGGATCCATTTATCTTTTCAAGCTCTGTCTGGCCCAAGTCCTTTCGTTGCTGTGGCTCTTCATACTTCAACTCCTCGAATGGATTCGCCTCGGCAACTTTGGTTCTGGCGGGGAGGGAATATTGGGATGTTCATTTTGATGCCAAACTACAAAACTTCTTATTGTGAAAGTAGTTGAGCTGATGTGTTTGACCCAGTTGACTGGAAATCAGCTACTTTTCAGTTAATTTCTCCTTTACAGCCACGCCTAACTTCTAAAACTTGCAGAAGAAGTCTCTGAGGCAGATACCCATGGATATAGCCTTGTTTTTCCTACCCTATCTTAATGAGCTAAGTAAGGCTGTTTATGGATGATGGAACAGCTGCCACATTCCACCCCCAGGGTGATAGCAGCTCAGTTGTGGGAGAAGTGATGTTTAAAATTTGCATATCCTCTGTATACATACAGTAGGCATATATATAGACGCATATCCTTATTAGTTTTGAAAATGACATTTCAAAACCCTACTTGCCTACTCAATTCTTTTGTAAGAAGAATGAGGGGAGGCCAGGTGGATGTGAAAATAAATTAGAACAAGGCAAGAGTAGCGGTGGAAAGCCAGTGTCGGAGATAGTTGCATTAATCAAGGTGAGAGATAAGGGTAGCAGGGACTAGGATAGCACAATACAGGTGGAGGAAAGTAAACCGATTCGAGGTTATTTTGAGGTGTAATCCGAGGGACCTGGTGACCAACCGGATGAGGGAAGTGAGGCAGAGATGAGGACAAGGTCCCTGCTTCTGGTTGGGGCTGCCGGGTGGACAACAGGGCCACCTGTTGTGATAAGAAACGCGGGAGTTGGTTTGCAGTCAAAAAACAGCAGACTAATTCGACTTCCTAGAGTCCGAGTTTGAAATGCCTGTGAGATGTCCAGGCAGTTGGGTACATGGGACTGAGGAGCAGGAGAGGGGCTGGAGACAGTGACTGGGAGCCATAAGCATAGAAAACATGATTGAAGCCGTGGGAGTAGATAACATTTCCCAGGGAGAGGACCTTGGACAAAACAGGAGGAAGGCCAGCCAGCGTAGGGAGAAATAAGTAGGAAAAATTACTAACCAACGTGTTGGGGAAGGCAAAGAGAGAGGGGTGGGGCAGGGGTGGCAAACGCTTTAAGAAGTCAAGGGAGGTTAAGAACTGGGAAGCATTGATTAGATTTGCCACAAGGCAGTCTTCACAAGCACTGTTTCTGGAGTAGTGAAAGCGATAGCAAGATGGAAGTTAGTCGAGGAGTTGGCGAAAAGCGGAGGAAATGGAGACATGAAACATCCGCAACGTTGAAGGAGTTCAGCTGTGAAGAGGAGAAAAGGGGCAGGGAAGCAACATCCAAGGACTACGAGGTTTTTGCAAATTGTTGTTTTATTTTAATGGAGAGATTTCGGCACGCTTTGAATGCTGCTGGGAAGGAGTCTCTAGAGCAAGACAGTCCGGCAAGGAGAGGGGAGACTGGGATGGAATGTGGGGTACTCAATAAAGAGAGAACCTTGACAAAGCTGAAGAGGCTGAGTCCAGGGCAGGACAGGAGGAGAGAGTTCTTCTATTGTAACAGAGGTCTCAAGTAGCTGCCAAGAAGAACGGGGGAGGGAATCAAGGCGCCTCTTCTCTCTCCCAGTTGGTAACTGACTGGCTACACTACACACAGCTCATCAAAGATGCCTTTCCAACTACCCAGAGGGTTCAAAAGGGCATTGTATACAAATGTAACCTGAAAAATCACTATTGCTAGATGATTCCCTAAAATTGAGCTAGCATATAAATATAGAATAGGCTAAACTGACATCTTTATAAATCAGCACTTCTTAACATCTCTAACCTTCTTTAACAAATAATGTACATAGAACATTGGCTTAAGCCACCTTTTTCTTAACAGACAAATAACCAGATGCCATCAATAATTCTGTCCATGGGGCCATGAGTACGGAAATGTGCCCACTAGGGGTCACGAGGAATGCTATCCTGACTCAGTGAACCACACAATGACAACCTGGGCCAGACTAGCTGTGGCTAACATTGGTTGTGCATCTTCCCCTTTTGGCTGGCTGACAGAACCCTGATTTTGTTCATTTCCGAGGTGATTAGGTGTCTGTGGCCTAAGAGATGCGCCTCGATTAGTTCAAGCCAATCTGGTATAGAAACGGGCACAGGACACAATTCTTGCCAATAAAACCACCAAGAAGGGGGAGGGGCTTCTGGAAAAGGTTTCCTCACTCTTGAGAAAAGCAGCACAAGGGAGAGGCGTATCTTTTTCTATCTCTGAATGCATTTAGTACCTGAACCATGGCAGTCACCACAGGATCATAAGGGGAGCCAGCTTGGAAGGACAGAACAAAAGCTATAAAGAACTCAGTCCTTCAGTGGTGCTACCTGAACCGATCGATTAAGCAACCCCGGAGCCACTTTTCCTTGGGATTTCTTGCTCTGTGAAATAGTAAGTGTTCCTATGTTTCAAGCCATTTCTTTTTTTCTTAAGCGTTTTTTTTTTTAAACATCTATTCATTTTTTTGAGAGATAGAGACGGTGCAAAGCGGGGGAGGGACAGAGAGAGGGAGACACAGAATCCGAAGCAGGCTCCAGCCTCTGAGCCGTCAGCACAGAGCCCGACGCGGGGCTCGAACTCACGAACTGTGAGACCGTGACCTGAGCTGAAGTCGGACGCTCAACCGACTGAGCCACCCAGGCGCCCCCTCAAGCCACTTCTAACTGCATTTGGTTAGTATGGCAGGAACCAGAAAAAGGTTGAAATCAGGAGAGAGGAAGTGTCTGTCACCCGATGAGTAAGAATCATTTCATTACGAGAATCCATTTCCAAAAAGTAACAGGGAATGGGTTCTGGTGGGAAGGAAGGATAAAAAGACTGGAGAAAGGGGAAGCCACAAACCGATTATGAGACAAGTTCCATTAACGTCTCTTTTCCCATTCCATCCTTGGGAGAAACGAACTATATTGTCTTTATCTCTCCAATTCTCCGTGTGTCCTTGATCATTAACTTTTACTTCTCAGTCTGTGACTCATTCCCAGGCTCAGACGTCAGAATTCTACTAATAGTTCCAGGGAGAGGGTAAAAAAAAAAAAAAAAAAAAAAAAGAAAGAAAAAAACCCACAAATACCAATTGCTCACTGAGGATACCCACTCTTTCCAGGGTCCAGCACGGACAGGTCATTCAGTGGGCCGGATACTCTTCCCGCACCCGCTGAAGGAAGTCCAGACACCTCCAGGGGAGAAGTGTCTGTTTTACCAACCCTGCTGGCTCATCCACACCTAGGGATTTAAGTTGCCTTCCAAACATACTTCACACACGTCTAATCGCTACTACTCTGTAATCCTGTTCAGACACCTCCCGGAAAGCTACATTTTAATGTCTCTCCACCCCTGCTACCCCTGTGCCCTCGCCAATAACCACGAATGCATCATGCCCTAAACACCAGGGCTCATCTCCATCCAAATAAGCTCTCCCTACCAAGTACTTAATTCCGTCTATGGTGCGCATCACTGGACAGCTTGCACTCATCCTGAAGCCTCCCCTTTCCTGCATTCCCTAAAGTCATACCTGCTTCCTCTTTCGAAGTATCTCTCAGATTTACCTGCTCATTTCAACTTCCATGGCCTCCATCACGACCCCGATGCTCTCATACCCCCCCGAACGGCTTCAGTCACCTCTCAGCCCGGGATCGCTGACCCCACTCTCTTCCGTTCCCACTTGCCTTGTTAGCACAGCGCCTCTCCAAGAACTCAGGAACCTGCCTGCAGTGGCTCCGACTCCCTTATGGCACCAAGTGCCGGCTCTCCTGAAGGGGTTTCAAGGCCCTCCCTCACCTGGGTGAGGCTCCATTAAAGCCTCCCACTTTCTTCCAGTCAGCCAAGTTGGAGACTGTCACACACACACCCTGTTCTTCCAGCCCCAGGCTTCCACCATGTGTCCTTCCTAGGGGTGCCCAGCAACCCGCTGTCTGCTCTCCTTTTCCTTTGTGTTCTTCTAGGCCCAGCTCAAATCCACCCCTTCCCTGAACACTCTGTAACTGCTCCAGCTCTTCATCCTTTGAATTCCCAGGACCATACTCTTTACAGCATCTAATTGTCCTAATAAAAGTCTATTGTCTCTCCCTGGGCAAACCGTGTCCTAAACTTCTCAGTGTTCCTCACAGTACCTGCTGTAGTGCAACAGTCCTGAACCCGAGGTAGGGCTGAAAGAACGATTTATTCACTGGATGACCCACATTCAACGGGTACCTTGCCTCTTTTCCTCATCATCTTAGTTACTGAGGAGTCTGGGAAGAAAGCAGGGGCAGCTACATCCTGCAGCCCTTGGAGAGCCTGACACGCGTTCCAGATGACATCTGATAGAGCTAGAGAGATCCCACTTCTGGAACGGAGACCATCACTTTCCAAAGAAGAATCACTGAGCTGATGGTTCTTATCAGGAAGGAACCAGAGCGGAAGCCAGAGAGGAGCATGGGGCAGGGCGGTCTGGAACTACATTTACCACTGTGGCTTCCTCCAGTGGAGTCACTTGGTGCCAGGGGAGGTGGATGCGGCTTGTCCATCAGCATGCCAGATGAGGGGGCTCCTCCCAAGGGGACAGAGGGGATGGAGTAAGGGCCGGGGACACCGGAGACAGAGGGAGGGTACCCGGCCTTTGCTGCTTTCCCTGCTTCATACACTGTGGAGGGAGATGAAGAGCAAAAGAGATTATATTATTGTCCCACCCTCCACAACCCTCACACCAAAACTCCCTGAGGATGCGCTTACGGGAGCTCTTGGATGTGTGCCTGTGTGTGTGTGTGTGTGTGTGTGTGTGTGTGTGTTCTCCTAGGCCTGAACTGATTCATCAGAACCACTCTCCCCCACCCCCTTGGACTCCTCCAGCTCCACCAAAAGCAATGACATAAGGAATTACAGTGTTCAGTAGCTGGCAACTGAGTAATTAAGCAGTACGAGGAGCTGTCATGGCAGTCCGCGGTGACGGCACGGCCCATTGCTAACCACACTGTCTGTAGGCTGCCTCTGTCTCTCCGGAGGAGGCCTAGCACCGTGCCACCCTCCTGGGTTCCAGGAGGACCCCAAACCTCTTCTAGAGAGGCAGAGCAGGTAATGAGCTTGCACCTGGCCCTGCTCTGTGCTCTCAAAGGCAGAGCAAATAACCTGGGTCCTCCTGGAAACTGCTTTCATCCTAAGAATATTAAAGATGAACGTACGTCTTTCTCCTTCAAGATGTATTCGGCTTATGGCCGGGGTGCCCAACTTAGTGGCTACACGGGCTCGGCCATTCAGGTAAAATTGTGAATCCCCAAGTAAGGACTGGTCCCTTTGTGGACCGTTTTGTCACGGGAATAAATAAAACTCATCCGTGGCCGGATGGTACTCAAAGGCTGCAGTCTGCATACTCTGCTTGTTAAAAGAGGAGTTCTCTGCATCCGAGAGGCATGGCCTTTCCTCTGGCTTGAGGGCCTGAAGAGAGGACAAAAGCCTTACCCACAACCTGACATCTGGAAGCTGCCCTTCCTTTCACCAATAGTGCCAATGAGAGTCGCAAACGCAGGGGTGACTGGTGTGGATGAGAGGTATGGAGAGGTGCAGGCAGGTGAGAAAGCAAACAGCAATGGGCATCTCAGGATGCCGGGGGCTCCCAGCAGAGGTGTGAGCCTGGAACGACCAACTTTTAAGGTGGAAGGAAAGGAGGCGGAGAAGGAACTCAGGGTACACAGCTGTCTGATGGTGAGGTGACATTTCTCGCGATCGTTCTACATCTCCCCACTAGTCACTTTACTCACAGGCCTGCGGGCAGCAGCAGGAATCTGGACAACATGGGCAGCGGATGTAGCAACAGCAGCTGTGAGGGCAGCACTGGCACCAGCAGATCCCCACCAGGACGAAGAAGAGGAAGATTCCCAGGATCACCAGGCCAACAAACACCCACTCTGGAAGGACGCACAGAGAAACCCACGGTTGAGGTGGCCCGCTGTCGGGACAGGCGCACTCTCATGGCTGTCTACTGTGGGAGGAGTGGGCGGGAGGGATCTGGGGGAGTATCCGGTAACAGGGCACGGAGCCCCCAAACTCAGGGGGAACTCTGAGAGGGAGAAGTGCAGACTTCACAGGGTTGGGGGGGGTCATGGGGAAGAGGGGAGAAGGCTGCCTAGGTCGTACCGGGCACACACGTAACGACCAGCACAAAGTGATGGGGGAGCTTCGGGGCCCCCTCCTGGGCAAAAGGTTCACAGTATCAACTGTAGCGTCAGAACAAGTATGGGACAAGAACAGAAAGACCCCCCGGCTGGGGAGAGGAGGAACCTTGCTTGCTGAGCTACGAAGAGGTGGGTTCTGTGAATATGTTCCTTTTGCGGTCAAGTTACTCTTTCCTACAAAAATGTAAGTCCTGCAAGAAAGTTCTCTATGTCTCCACGGTCTAAACCGGCACGTATTTAAGTGGTCCAGGTTCCTTATGTGTTCATCTACTTTCCCTGCTGACCACCCCGTAACACCCTTCCCGGACTCAGCATCAAGGCTGAGATCAAAACCTTCTGGAACAAAACCTGTGGAACACACCATGGCTAGAGAAATCTAGAGACAAAGACTCAGGTGGAGAATACGATGTCGCCACGCCCCCAAGAATGGCTCGGTTGGATCACGCTCAGGTTGACCATGCTGAATAGCCAGCGTAGCTGCGGGGAAAATGGCTCAGGGCTTTGAGGACTATACTGGCTACGTTTGTTAACTCCTGTTATTTTCCCACCTCTACCAGAGGATGACCACAGCTTCTAGTGCATTTGCTCATCCAAAAGATTAAGAGAAGGGAAACAAATTCCATTTGGCTTAGATAAAAATGACTGTGACCTTCGAGTGACTTTGTGTCACGCTTTTGGGATTTGGCTATAGGACCCAACTTCCTATAGACTGGACAGACTAGAGTGAGCCATGAGTTCCTTTAAAAGTCAAAAAATCAGGGGCGCCTGGGTGGCACAGTCGGTTAAGCGTCCGGCTTCAGCCAGGTCACGATCTCGCGGTCCGTGAGTTCGAGCCCCGCGTCAGGCTCTGGGCTGATGGCTCAGAGCCTGGAGCCTGTTTCCGATTCTATGTCTCCCTCTCTCTGCCCCTCCCCTGTTCATGCTCTGTCTCTCTCTGTCCCAAAAATAAATAAATGTTGAAAAAAAAAATTAAAAAAATAAATAAATAAAAGTCAAAAAATCAAAGTAATTCATTTTGATCGAAAGCCGCCTACCAAAAAGTCCCTTTACAATGAACTTTAAGTATATATTGTTTTTCTTGAATTTTGGTTATTAAATGTTCTTTCAGTTAAATGGACATTCAGTTGGAGCTTGAGAATATGACATTTTTGTTATATAAAGGGTTTTGTGATAATGATAAAATTCTTTGACCTTTGTCTAGAACACAGTTTCCTCAGAGAAAAAAACCAACAACTTATATTTCCTGAAACGTCCCTCGTCACCCCATCCACTCATCCCCATTCAAATTAACCAGGTCACCATCTCTTCAGTGAGGAAATGAGAAGGCCCTGCGCCTGCTGAGAACGGTCTAGAAAACATTCCTGCTGAGGACCATAGATAGCTCAGAGCTTTGTCCTGGACCTTAGCAATAACCCAGTAACATTCTGTCTCCGGAGACAGATATGAGCTCTGAGGATTAGATGAGTGTTGTGGCATGAAGGCTACAACAGTCTTGGGTCAAGCAGTCAAAGATAAAGGACTGGCAGGTTACCCTGGAGAAACAAAAGAATGTTATCCACGCAAGGATTCTTGGAGTCAAAGGGGAGGGATATTCAAGGGACCAGGACCAGATATGAAAAATACAATAACTCTTTCCTGGGACTGGGGGAACATAACATCTAGTTTGAAGCGATGCTTCGTAACATTGTATGTGTATGTTTGCGGGCGATGAACAAACGAGTACAAGCTGACAGCACTCTGGATAAGGGGGATCACAAAGAGATATCTATTTGTGTCCCTGGGGTCAACATCAACAGGAAGCATGTTTATATTTGGGTTGGCCAGCTAATGGCAAAACAGGAGAATTCGTGGAAGAATAATTAGTGAAATTCAACTGTGAAGACTTTGGATGTTTTAAAAGCTGAATAAAGTCAAAACCTATGGCCGGGAATAGTCTGTATCTCTCTGTTGCTCCCAACTATCATGCAGCTCTCAACCCTTTGGCAGTAGCCCTCCAAAGCAAGAATGAATCATAGTCTTTAGTATTCTCTGAGTTTGGATATGTCCTTTCCCGTAGTTCATTCCCGTTTCTCATGGAACCTCCTTCCATTACGGACTATAGTGTTGCACTGAACGGATGCTGGCTTGTCTAGGCTGGTGCATTCAACTTAAGCTATATGAAATGACAGAGCTGTGCATCTGGGGTTTCCCTGACATATGGTCCATGGATCCCAGGGACTTATGGGGCCCAAGGAGCCCCTGAAATTGTATACAAAGCAATGTAGGTCTGTAAGTATGTACTTTTCAAGGAAGGAGGGGTGTACTGACTTCATAAGGTTTGAAAAACTGTTTTGGTAAAGTTACAAAAGGCAATTCAGAGTAACATGGTCATACACTAATGAATGGGTAAACATATAACTTAGGGAGGGAATAAGGAAATGCAGATAAATAATTACTTTGTTAGGGATACTTCTAGCTGCCTGGGGACAGCTGAGATGCTGAATGGTTATGGAGTTTGCCAAAGAGCCTGCACACCTGACACTGAAGGACTGGGTCCCCCTTGCAGCTTATTTTTAATCATTATCCTTTTAGGACCTACTAATAGAAGAAATACAATCTAAAGGCTCTTCCATTGGGCTCAGTTCATCCTGGAAAAGAACACAGAAATAATACAGACAAATGTGCAAACAAATTAAAGGAACAATTAGCGACTAGTGCAGAAGCAAGACAGATGGAGTGACAGCAAATTAAGCAAATAAAGAGTTAAATGAGTGAATACCTGGCATAATCTCCACAGCAAAACTGGGCAAGAGATCAGCAAGCAGCCCTGTCCTGCCTGGAAGAGGTGGAAGGAAAAGAAGAAGGAAAGAGGTTACTCCAAAGGAAAATACAGCTTGGAGGCTGGCTCCACGTGGCGCCGTCCCTACACCAGGGCCATGGACCCATGCTCCTTGGGGTAGGAGAGGCAAGTCGCCGAGGCGGGGCTTAGTCAAGAGAATAACTTTCTCCATCACTCTTTGGCAGCCATCTAAGTGAACTCTGCACCTAAACCAGATGGAAGCAGAAACAGAACTTTCTCTCCAACTATTTATAGAAGGAGGAAATTCTCTGCTTCAAATATGAAAAACCCTGCTTGAGCAGACTGACACATACCATCTCCATTCATTTATACATTCTTCTCCACACATTTTATTGGAAAGTCAAACCCATCTGTATCCAAACGTTCAACCTACATTTTCATACATCCATACACAGTCCTATGTCCATATAAAAACAAAAGTACATATTTGGTTTTAACTCAGAATTGTCTCACTACATGTTCTATTTATAGCCTAACGATGTTTCAATGATTAAAATGTTCAAAGGCGAGGAAAAGATAAAGCTAGATGAGTTACACGCTCTTCTACACTCCTTCTGGTTTCAGAAATACTCTATACATATGTATATGGTATGGATTTTCCATATGGGACCCACAGCTGGCGTTGTATGAACCCAAGTGCCTTCTGCATGGTTCGGCATACGAGCTTAAGAGCCAGCTGGTGTCAGAACAGGCGCCCCCTCGGGGTTCTGGGAGGCAAAGAGCTACGCAGGAACCAAGACTGTAGAGGATGTGGGGGAGGGGGTTAGTCCTTTTAAATACTAGCCTGATTTAGGGGTGCCTGGGTGGCTCAGTCAGTTAAGCATCTGACTCTTGGTTTCAGTGCAGGTCACGATCTCACGGGTCGTGAGTCTGAGCCCCACATCGGGCTCTGCGCTGACAGTGTTGAGGTTGCTTGGGATTCTCTGCCCCTCCCTCTCTCTGCCCTTCCCTCTGTGCCCCTCCCCTGCTCATGCTGTCTACCCCACGGAAGCCCCTGCTAATAAACAAGTCTTGCATTATGAAACAACTGGCAAACTGCCCTCCTGTCCCACTTCTAACGGCAAAAAGTCGCCGTGGTACCACTTAAGCACGCAACTGAATCTTACTTCGCTTAACACGCAGAACATATGCCTCTAGAACGGCTCTATCCACTAGAAATATAATGTGAGCGACAGGTAATTTTTAGCTTTTCTAGTCATCACATCACAGAGTAAAAAAAGAAATTAATTGAATACTATATTTTACTCATAGCAGCACTTCAAAGGCTCAGCAGCCACACGTCACTGCTGAACACACAGGTTTAGGGGTCTGTTTCATGCATGTGGAGTGAGCCCATTTAGAAAACGAGTTTATTGAGGTGCATCAGAGAAAAAATTACCCACGTGCAGTTTATATTTTCAGTCGAAAGGTTGATCATGATCGGTCACTGGTCCCCGCCTCCGTCAAACTACTCTATGGAAAAGAAGGTCTGACAAAAGTCAAATAAAAAGGAGTCCCTCCAGGACACTGACTTTTTCTTGGCTCTCCCTAACTATACAAGGCCAACGGGGTAAAAGGTGCCCTGGCCATGTCTCCTGCTTGGGTAATGGTTCCTCATCTGAGAAATTCATTGGGACCACAACACATTCCAAGGGGAAGGAAGTCTAGAATGAAGTGACTTAGGCTAGCTCTGTTTTAGGTCTTGGCAAGAAAGGCTTCTTTCTTTCTGTCTTTCTAGCTTGTGCAGCTGACCTGGTAAGGATGGTCTGCTGCTTGCGAGGTCTCTTGGAAGAACACACGAGAGCCAAGTGGGGCACTGGAGAAAGGTGTACCCTGAAGGAGACTTCTCAGGCTAGCCTTTGACCTAAGCCTTCCTGATAGGCTAAGAGGTGCCTCTAAGACTCACGTGTGGTCTAGGATGGGATACCAGACAGGAATTTGGGGCCAAATTCCGAGCAAGTGATTCATAGCATGCACTGGTCTCATCTGGAGTGTTCTGTGTACAAATATCCCTCAGAATCCCTTGTTGGAAACTCAACAAAGAAACAGCTGGTCAACGACTGGGGAATTTGGGATGTTGGCCATCTCTTGAAGACATAATTAATATTAATTACCGGCCAATAGTTGATCAAAAAGTCAATATACAATGTTTTTCACAAGCTAGTTATGGGATGCTTACTTAATGGTGGCTTAAAAAAAAAAAAAATCCAGAGGTGCCTGGGTGGCTCAGCCGGTTAAGCACCTGACTTCGACTCAGGTCATGATCTCCCTGTTCCCGAGTTCAAGCCCTGCATCGAGCTCTGTGCTGACAGCTCAGAGCCTGGAGCCTGTTTCTGATTCTCTGTCTCCCTCTTGCTCTCTGCCCCTCCCCCGCTCACACTCTGTCTCTGTCCCTCAAAAATAAACATTAAAAGATTGTTTTAAAATCCAGACAATTAGCACTTCTGAATGTATCTCTTATTGTACCTAATAAAATGAGAAGCTTTTCTTGGGTCTACTCTTAAGCTCTCAAGCCTACCAATGTTTTAAACATCTCTAGATACGCTATAGCCCATAATTAACTACATTTATAAAAGAAATGTTATTGATGATATAAACTTCCAACTTGTACACTCACAGGAAATTAGCCATGTGATAATTATTAACTATAAAAAATCTATATATTCAAGGAAAATATGGTGCTTATACTTATTATATAGAAGACATTATATTGGAGAAAGCAGTGAACTGGGAATCAGGGTACTTAGGGCACCTTTGCCATTAGTTTACTTGGTGACTATAGGCAAATTACTTCCTCTTTCTAGGTCTCAGTTTTCTCTTTAATCAAATGAGGTGACTGAATAAAGTGATCTATAAATAGGGAGACTATATATCCTCGTTTGTGCCTGTTGTACCTGTGTAAATACTAATAGCACTACTTTTTATTCTCTAAGTGTCTTATCTTGGACGATTAATTATATGGTCACCCAGCCTACAATATTCTTGGTTCTCAAATCTGATACTTAGAGATTAGAGTTGCAAACTCGGCCCTGTATGTTTACAGGGACAGCAGGTAACACAAGTAAATGCAGCCAGCCGAATGTAATACGAGGTGTAGCAAATAGCAGATTATATGTCTATAGAGGCTGCTACTACTCAAGTCTGGCCAATCGCTGCCCCACAGGAATGTGTCTTCACGGTTGCAGGTCTTCCTATTTTTCAAGATTAGCCAGACCCCAGGTTTTTGTGTGAAATATCTGCATTTTCAGTGTTGGCGATTGATCCATAGGTATTTTTTTAAACACTGGACAAGCCATACAAAGTATGTTTGGGGGCTGTATGGAGCCCAGAGATCACACACTTGCAACCACTGATGGGCATATATAAACCAAAATATTTATGAGCAGGTAAAATACAAAAGCTGGATTTCCCCATAGGCTGGTGTTCTGACATTGTTTCTACACTGAGAATGTCAGCGAATATAATCTCCAGGAACCTATGTTCAAGCTAAAATCTGTAAGCGACAGCACTACACACAAAATTGTGTGCCTTTCTTATTTCTGGGGACCCGGAATGGGCATCGTGGAGAAATAATGGAGAGATTTTCATTTCTAGATTTTTTTTTTTTTTTACATTTGTAACGAAAAAAATTAAGGATACGGTGGTCACAGAAATATGGACAGGAGAGTCACAAAACTTGTCACTCCAACCGAAAGACACACATCGAGCTTCTCATTCTCCCTAAGGCAACAACCAATAGCTGATGCTTCAGAAGAAGATGAAGCTTTCCCATAATGCACCTGTGTAGCGCTAGCCCCAGGATGGCGTGGGTGACAGAATCTTGCCATAGTTGGTGGAATTAAATGTCTTCAGAATTCGGGACACAGTAGGAGCTTTGGGGTAGCAGACAATATGACTGTATCATGTCGACAGCAGACAGAGTGCAAAGCTCTCTGGCTTTTATACCACACTTACATTTTATTGGGACTAAAGGCATTTTTAAAAGTAGATTTATGCTGGAATAATATATTTCTGAAAACCATTTGCTTCCAGCTTCTTGCCTAACAATTTCTAAGAAATGCTGTTGCCAGTTAGAAACGTTCTATCTTTTCTTCCTATTCTACCACATCCACTGAAGGTCTGATCTTAGAAAGTCCAAACAATTGCAGTAAATACTTTCCAGATTTCAGTAGCACTTTACCAACACTTGTGAATCATTGCTATTCTTCCAGGATTCAGTTGAAGAGGGGCAATTAGAAGTCACTTTAATGTCTGAGGAGAGGACAGAAAGCAGACCCTGCAAACAGAAGGCCACATTTATGCTTTTCAAACCACAGCTCAAACTATCAGGAGAAAATACAGTTTTGATGCAAGCACTCAAACAGTTTTCCCCAAACCTTGCAGCATCCATTACTTTTAAGAAATTTCCACATGAATAGACCAAACAAATTAGGCATGCTAACAGTTGGTACATGCACACACACACACACACACACAAGTGTTGGCTCCGTACAAAACCATCACTAAGTTTGTAGCCAAAAACATTCACATGCTTTCGGTTGACTGATTAGGGCAGAAACATGCATTGTGAATAAAACGGCCTCTGTACCTGACCTGTACGATTCCCATCTCAGCTGTGTTCTGCCATTGACACAGTGAAGTTATCCCCAACTCTCTTTGTACGTATTCCTGAGAACCAGCTCACCTCTGGAATGTCTCCAATTCATTCATTCATCATTCAGTCAACAAAAAAAATGTGTCCTGTGCCAGGTGGGGACACAGAGGAATAGACATGAACCCTGTGCTGGGGAGGCTCGCTGACTGGCCCATGCAGCTTATCTAACAGCGTCAGCTTAAGAACTCCATTTTAGTTACCTGCTTCTGTTTCACAAAGCTTCCTAAGGTCAAAGCGCCTTCCTCCTGCCAAATCCAATTCTCATCAGGTTTTTTTTTCTTTTTTTACATTTTTGACATCAAGTTCCACCTACTACGAGGCCGTTCCCCAGAGACACAGCCTT